CATCAGAACGCTTGATTAAAAACCGACGGGCACACTTTGGCATGCCCCTTAAAATTTCTGCGGAATTTTCTAGTTATTTCATGGTCTCTTTAGCCTTTAATCTTTTCCAACATAAAACCCAAGTAAGGTGTCCAAAGTGCGGCCCGGGGGCCATTAGTGGCCTTCTGAAGGATTTTGGGAAGACGAAACATTTTTATGTTTTATGGGAACTTTTTTTTTTTTTTTCAAATATTAAGTACAAAAAAATACATTCTTATTTAGTAGCAAAGTTTTTCCATCAATCTTAATTTTGACAAACATTGCCCTAGTTTTCTTAAAAACAAATATTACTTCTCCAATCAAATAAGAAAACAATTGAACCCAAAAACAGAATATGTAAAATAATACATTTTACAGTGCTTTCAACATGGGGCTGAAAAATGTACGACAATATAAATGTTTCATATCAGTTGATGTTAATAATTACTGATACGTGTTCTTATTGTTTTAAATATCTGAAACTCTGCCAACAGGTGACCTTTCCTGTTTTACCAACAGTTTTCCATCCACGTTGTTGTTTTTTTAAAATTATTTTTAGGCAGTTAAAAGTGGCGGAACCTTAAAGCTGCAGCAGTTACTCAGCAGGTTGTTGCTAGGCAACCACAGAATGAGCGAGTTGCTAGGCAACCAAAGAACAAACGAGTTAGCTGATTCCACCAACATTTGTTTAGCTGAATAATAAATATTCTGTCTGATCACGTCTATTGCGATAGATATCGTTATTGATTTATTGTCCAGCCCTGTTTCAACTCAACGACTCAAAGGCACAAAGTTTGGGCGCCTCTGATGCAAGAGATTAGCAAAGCTTAGCATCTTCCACTCACACAGAGGGCTGAGCAGCTCTGAGCGCAGCTGGCTGTACTCCATCTCCAGGCCGTCGTAGCGCTCTTGTTGGGCCCCCAGCTTCTGCAGGGAGGACAGCTGGGCCACATAGCCACCCAGATAGATGTCCAACAGCGCCACCAGCTGCTCACAGAGGGCGCTGCGCAACTCTGAGTCGGCGTGAGGGTAGACGGAGTGCAGGATGATTTCGTGCTGGTGAGAAAGGACGGTGCGAACGCCTCCTACACCGCCTGAAGCTGGAGGGAACGGGGTGGGGGGGAAACTGTTCAATATTTAATTATTGTTTAACGTTAAAACAATACGTCGCTCTGGTATTTTACCCGTCCATGGAATATATTCCGGCTCTGCAGCTGCATTTTCTGAAGCTCTGTACATGGAGGCTTTCGTCTCTCTGTACTGACCTGCAGCCTGAAGCATGTCCTGCACACAGACCACAAGTTTTCTGATTTATATTTTTGCATAAAGAACAAATGTGTCAACGGTGCAATGATGTCGGGCATAAATATTAGCTACAAGCTGCAAATTTTCAGGCTCAAAGAACACAAAATAGCTCTATTTATGGAGTTTTGCTATGCAAAAAAACTCCATTAATATTTCCCACTTAGTCTAGAATTTGTTCAATTTGTTCACTTTTCATATATTTGCTCTACTTTTATAAAGGATTAAAAAAGTTATGGAGGAGGCGGCGTTTGGCGGTAAAGGCTTAACTGCGCATGGGAACTCAGAGCGGGCTTTAACCTTTGACCTTCGGTAATGGCGTTCGAGCTAAGAGGTCGAAATTTCACCCCTAAATTCTAATGAATATTTAACACTAGAACTTCAAGGCATTTTAAATATTCAAAAATAAATAAACAAGAGAAACAACAAATAAAATGAGATATCTGTAAACAAAATGGATCTTTAAAAAAACAGGAATATTTTGAGACCAAAGCACCAAACTGAAGTTTAATCATCCAGAAAGAGAGAAAAGAGAAAAACAATAAATCATGCAAATGGAAATTATTGATTTCATTTTTATTTCTCATGTGATTAATGGATTTATTACTCATTGTGACAGGCCCAGCTGTGAACTAGTGACACGTTTACCTTGAGTATGTTGTTAACTGTGAGCACAACGTCAGCCCACTGCTCCGAGTCGACCGGGTTCTCCTTCAGGATCCGCTCCTCCTCCTCCACCAGACAGTCGAACAACAAGGAGATCTGAGACACCTGCGGAAAAAACGCTACATCAGGGCTGTCCAACCTTTTAGCCGTGGGCCAAAACTATAGACTCAAAAGTAATGACGGGCCAAAAAAATAAACAAACCTAAAACAACCAAATAAAGTGGCCCAATATTTACTGTAGGTCCAAATCCTGAAAGGGATTTTTACAACCGCGTATCAGATGGAAAAAAGGAAAAAAATTTCCCCAAAAACTCAGAAATTTAGTGACTAGAATCAGAAATTTTCTGGAAAACTTGGAAATTTTGTTTTTGTAGAAAATTTCTGATATGGATCTGAAAATGAGATTTTTTTTCTACCAAATTTTCTTTCTGAGATTACTCTCAAAAGTTCTGAGTTTCTTGACAGATTTTTTTTTCTTCAACAAAAGTGCTAATGCGCCGTAGCAGATTTTGCATATTTGCTGTACTAACAGAAAGACTTTTAGTTTTCAGTTTCTTTTGGGCTTGACTGAATAAATTTTCAGTAATAATAACAGGATTTGGGTCACTTTGTTTCAAAACACTTGCTCTATTTAGCCAAATTTAGGAAAGAATAAAAGATAATTCTGGGTGTAGCAAAGTTGTTTTTTTAGTAAAACTCTTGGTTTCACTTTTTGTTAAAACTTGGTTATAAAAACACAAATACTTTGTGTCGTACTTTACATGTTTCTGTGTAAAAAGAAAATGATGTTGGTAACAATTTTTCCGCTGGTTACAAATTAAAACTCTCCATCTGCATCTACGGGACAAATTTTAATCATTTTTGAATTGCAGTCGGGGGCCACACAAAATCAGTCCAAGGGCCACAAACGGCCCCCGGGCCTCACTTTGGGCACCCCTGCGCTACATCGTTTACACATCATCCGGCTGCCAAACAGCAGCTCCTCAGACACACACCTCCCTGAAGAAGACGTCGGCCGCTGTGAGGCTGGGCGGCACGGTGGTGTTGCTCCGCTGCAAAGCGACGTTGATGGCCCGGTTCACCAGCTCGGCGTGTTTGTTGTGGTGGTTCTTCAGCACCATGGCCGCCTGCAGCTTCTCAGCGTGCTCGCACAACAGCAGGCGGGTTGCCATGGGAGATGACCTCACCGTCGCCTGGCTGAGCCGGTCCAGTAGCCCCACCTTATCCGGAGGTCAAAGGTGAGACGTGAAGAAACCCAACAAGGAAGAGGAGGAACGGCGTGAGGATACCTGGAGCAGGAAGTCCATGAAGCAACAGTGAGCCTTCATCTTGTCCTCCAGCTGGTGGAGGATGATGAGGGACGTGAGAGGAAAACCGGCACTCTCTGAAATAACCAAAGGAAAAATAAAACTCAAGTTATTATCTTTGGACCTAAAGAAGATCCATCTTAAGATTCAGTTATTAAAGCTGGAAACCAAAGATCAGGCCTGAAATCTGGGTGAAGGACCTGAACCTTCAGAGTCACATAAAGACAGTTACAAACTTGGCCTTCTATCACTTGAAGACTGTCTCTACAATTAGAGGACTAATGTCCCAACTAAATCTGGAGAAACTCATCTATGTGTTTATCTTTAGTCAGACTGATTTCTGCAGCAGCATCTTCACAGGTCTGCCTAAAAAATTCTAACAAACAGCTGCAGCTGATCCAGAACACTGCTGCTAAAACAAAATGCTTTTGTTAGTTTATAAATGCATTAAAAACCTTCCTGACTATTTGGGTCTTCTGGTTCTGGTCTACTCCATCTATGTTTCCATTGACCATATAATTGACTTCATGGAAATGCAGCAATTTTGAGAAAAACTTTGGATAAAAAGTTTTAGTGTTTTTTTGTTATTGTTTTTTTGGGGCTGTATTGAAATTACTGTATTTTGTAAAACTACAATAGAAAAATTTTTTTGTATCCCACGAGTCGTGATAATCAGCTGGAAGTTACTACTGGAGGAAATGACAAAAAAGACAACAGGAAGTAGTTGGAGGATGATGGCACTGGAAGTTTCTTAATGACTTATTACACAAACAAACTAATTCACTTGTGATTTTTCTTGCGTTTCTTATTTGATGGAAACACTGCAATTGAGAAATTGTGTGTTTTTGACATTAACAAAATATTGACAAAAGTTTTGATTCACCAGAATCAGACCCAAACATGGAGAAGCACAACTCACTTTTTATCCTCCTCTAATCTGGAACAAACTTCCAGAAAACTACAAAACTGCTGAAACACTGAGTATCTTTAAATCAAGGCTAAAAACCCAGCTGATTAGAGCTGCCTTTGATTAGCAGTACATGCAACACTGATCAACATATTTGATGTAGTTGCTGAATGAATTTGGTGATGGTGTTTCACTAAATGTAATGTGTAGTGCTTGTTTAATAATTGGGACCGTATGAAGTTTTTAAGATGTAAAGCACGCCTCACCGCCGAGGACAGACTCGGCCCAGCGAGGGTCTGACGCCGGGTAATCGTCCACCAGTTCCAGGTTGATCTGAACCACAACGCCGTCCAGCTCAGCTCCTTCCTCTCCATCAGCGTCGGCAGGAAACAGGTCGTCTGTGACCGTCTGAGCGCCAACCAGGTCATTACTGAGCAAGAAGGAAAACACAGGAATCACAGTAATACTCAATTATAACTGCAGTTTTTTTATTTTAAAGCAGGTCCATGTTGATGTTGATTACTGCAGTGAATACCAAAATCTAAAGAAATTAGCTGAAGAATACTAACAAGGGCTTGGTCAATTTAAAATATTTGTATAAAATAAACTTCTGTGTTTAAATGAAAAATATTCAGAATGTATAATTTTTTAAAATTCAATTAATTGGATGCACAAAATAAAGAAAAGTTCACCTTTTTCCTCACTGTCTGAAGTTAAATCAGTTAAAATGATCAACATTATTTCTTATTTGCTAAATGTCACAATATTGCAAGAACTAATTTGTCACAAGTGAAGTTTCATTTTGTCAGTCTATACTAGATGCATGAAAAGGTAAGAAATGGTTGTTTTGTAGCGACATACCGGCAGAACTGGAGGAACGCAGCCTTCAGCAGTTTGGTTTTGTCTTCCTGAGCAATGGGCTCTGATCTGGTTGGTGTTTCCATGGCAGAAATCTGGAAAAACAAAAAATATCAAGAAAGTGATTAAATGATTCAATGCAAATTCTTTGCTTCAGGTTTAACTGCTTCTAATCAGTGTTTCACATCTCAAACTGTGAGTTAGAAGGTTTGTTTGGTGGCTCACAGAACCTGAACACATTTGTGCATAAATAAATCAGAATTATTATTTCTTTCATTATTGTGAATTTTAGCAAGTAGAAATAATTTTGGTAATTCCAGCTGACCTAAAATAAGACAGGGAAAAGGCGGAGGAGATAAATCTTTTTACAGATTATTTATCTCATGTTCAGTCCTGTCATAATAAGAAAGAAATCAATTAATCAAATGATTAAATTAAAACTAACTCAATTATTTCCATTTGCATAATTAATTGTTTTTCTCTGTTCTACCAAAAACTAGATAATAAAAGTCTTCAGTCTGGTGGTTTGGTCTCAACTAGCTGCTTATTTTGAAGGACAATTTTTTTTACAGGTACTACATAAGTCATGTTATTTGTCGTTTCTGTTGTTTTGTTCATTTTGGATATTTAAAATGTCTTCCAGTTCCAGTGTTAAATGTTTATTAGAATTTAAAGTTTATTGATCTTTGACAATGTGTCCTTCCATTGTTAAGCCATTATTACCATTATATAATTTGAATATGGTCTCAAAACAACAATATTATCGTTTATCGCAATAACTTTTGGGACAATTTATCGTCCAGCAAAATTTGTTGTTGTAGTGGTTATGTTATACTATCATGTCATGGTGATAGTTTTAAACTAGTAAAAAAATATTTTTATAAAAGTTACAGAGTTACATACTACGGCTTTAAGCCAAGTACAAAACATCCAGAAGAATAAAATAGCATGCTGCAACTGAATTAGACGCGTCCTTCCTTGGTGTAAACCTTCAGAGGTATCAATCATCGGATTGCGTTTTGGTCGTTTTACCTCGGGCGCTGCAGCCAGCGAGGAGCACAGTGAGTCCTCCATGGTCTCTGGCAGGATGGAGGCGCTCTCTCTGGCCACCACAGCTACCAGTCCACTGTTCTGGGAGAAAAACACCGGCAGGTTGGAGCAGCAGCCTCCTCCACGTATGCCATCACCTGAACAGACACACACATTTGTTTGCTTACACTTAAACCCCACAGTGATGCCTTTCCCTACACTCGTCACATCACTTGTCTTTTCCAGTAGCCATTGTATGGCTCATACAGCGCTAAAACCGGCTGACCAAATGAGCTGGACCAAAATGAGCTGGAGCTCAGCTTAGGTTGCTAGGCAACGGGCTGAGCTTGGCTTAGGTAACGGTGCAGTGCATGTTGAATGTGACTTAATAATGAGTTTTATCAAATGGCTCATTTTCCACAAAAAACATTAACATATTTCCAGAAAATGTCTAGGTGCATTTTCTTAAGCACTTGGGCGTTTATTTTTAGAAGCAACAAAAACCCAAATAGAAAAACAAAAACATGCTAACCGCAAATTTTCCATAACAGTTCCCCTGTAAGTCTCTTTTATGTTACCTTGTTGGAGGTGAGAAACAACACAAACTCAAATCCTGATCAAAGCAAGTATGTTTTTAACAACTTCGCTTTATCTGAACATTTATATCTGTACTTCTGTCTGTATGCTAATGGGAGTGATAATTACAAAGAAATGTTAAAAAAATAAATATTTTATATAATACTCTGCAGAGTAGATAATTTAATATTTTAATAATGTCATAAAACCCAAAACAAAGCAAAAATATCATCAATATTCTTTCCTTCTAGAATTTAACATTTTTCAGCTGGATGATTTTTTTTTAATAAGTTTATATAAGAGGGGAAAGAAATGAGTGTTACCTGGTGAATTGAAGCTAATTTTCTCATCTGGTAGCGCCGCCCTGCTGGTGCCCGTTGAGCAGGCCGACACCATCTCCTTGTTGTACAGGACAGCGGTAGTACCAGGTGGATCGGGCAGCACAAAGCGTGTGGCCTGCAGCTCGTCCTCGCTCTGATGGAACCAAAAATGGAGTCAAGAATAAACGGAACGCCTTTAAACGTAAACTATTATTTCAAAATGTGTTTTACCCCGTTATAAAGACCTCATCCAGAGAGAATAAAACCCAGGCTGGGCAATAAGGCATTTCATATCAGTCTTTAGATAATTATTAATTACTATTTTGTTTTAAATACCTGAATATTGCTAAACTGGTGGTGTAATCTTTCCTGTTTTATCCACAGTTTTCACTCCACATGGTTGTTGTTTTTTTAGGCAGTTATGAGTCACAGTGGCCAAACCTGAAACTTCTGCTGTGCCAGTTACTTGTTGCTAAGTAACCAAAGAGTGAGCAAGTTACTCGTTGCTAGGTAACCAAAGAGTGAGTTAGCTGATTCCACCAACTGACTTTATTTCAAACAAATAACATTACAGAGAAGGTCTTTTAACACAAATCCACAATAAAAATAAAAAATAACCAGACATTGACAATATTGGTGTCAAGGTCTTGCAATCTACAAAGTATAATAAATAAAATAACAAGCAAAAGTTAGATAAATTTATACATACATGGGTAAAGTAAAATAAGGTGTACCTTTTAGTCTACACAAAAACTATTTTAACAAAGTGTCAAAAACACATTCAAATACGTATAATAAAACTTATCAGCAAGATATAGAAGCTAGTTTTAAGTAAATAATTCCTTGATATTGATGAAAAATTATCTGTTCAATTGGCAGATTATTTCACTTATAACATGGGGAAATTATCTTGTTATAAGTAAATTTATTTGCCAGTTGAACTAGTACTTTTTCACAAATATTAAATAATTTGTTTAACTTAAAACAAGCTCTTATATCTTGATGCAAAGATACTTGTAAGTTAGTTTTGTCTTGTCTTATTTGTCTTATCAATCAAATGTAATAAGATATTTTCACAAGAATGAGATTTGGTGATTTTGCAGTGAATAAGGTTGAGAAATGTGTATTTTTAGATATTTTATGATACATTTGTATCTGCTTGTAATGTTTTCCATCTTTTTTTAGGCTTTTCTCTTTTATTACTATAAAAGTCTCGGAATATTAACATCAGAGTGGAAGATTATCATTTTATAATGATTTTCTGGAATATAAAAACTAAGTTTTTGAAGCATGCCGGAGCTGGATGGGCACTGACCTGGAATGGACAGCTGTACTTGGTCACTTCCACGGTGAACTGGTCGGAGATTGTGTCTCCGGTCTCCTGCAGGGTGATCAGGCAGAAATAAGCCAGGCAGGGCGAATCTGATGGATGCCAGGCTGCAGCCAAAACCACAAGGCCGAGTCTGGAGGCACACACAACAGAGTCTGGGATTTAGACATCATATGGTGGGCACAGAGATCAAATTACTCCTGCTCTTTCTGAAACTACAGAAAGGCATCACAACATGGCTCCTCTATAAACCCTTTAAAAACATTTTGATCCGTTTCAATGAGAAGCAGCTCGTGCAATGAGCTTAGCTGATGCTCAGCTCCAAAAGGTGTTTGCCAATTGCTGCTGGCTAGTCTGAAGGAGCTGAATGGGGGAGTCGCAGAAGCTTGGAAATTATATTTACAAAAAAATCTGCTAAAATCTGCTTTTAAAATGAATTAAATTCAGTATTCACTGAATAGGAAACAGACATTAATGCTCTAAGAAACATATTAATGCTGAATTTCTGAATCACACAACATGCTTTCTTGACTTTATAATAACCAGGTTAACACTTATTTATTCTTTCCCTTCATATTTCCTCTCTTATCTAGTTTGCAAGAAACTCTTGCATTAAGGTGATTGTGTCAGTGTGTACTGCTCTGGTTTTGCTCTTTAGCTGCAGTTTAATCAACATAAATCACAATAAAGTTGGACTGAAATGATTTCTTATCATCAGTGTGACGTTTTTCATTCACTTTCAGACAGAAAGACAAAACCACTCACTGGCTCGACTTCATATCCAGGTATGTGACGTTCGCTCCCTCCTTCAGCTCCTCATAGTTGCTCTCTGACCCCTGGAGGAAAAAGTTCAGTCTCATTTTCTGGAAAATCAATGTTTGCTTTAATCATGCAGATTCCTATAATATAACAGAAGTATTTAGCAGTTTTATTAAAGCCTTAGTATTGAGTAAGGCTGGGCGATAAATCTATATTATTAATTACATTTTTGGCCTTTGAAAATTAAATTTTTAGAAAATCGAGATTATTTTTCACCAGTTCAGTCTTTGAGTTTCCATATTTCAGAGAGATGTCAGCCGCCATCTTGATTTACAATTTCTATCTATTTATACTTTGAATATTAGGGCTAGGCTAGGATTTTATTCTTTGAAATGATGAGAATAAATTCATAAAAGAATGAAGAAGAAATATTACAATAACTCTGGACATGGGAAATAACCAAAATGCATAATATTGAGAATCTTCTGAAGTTAAACTAAGATAAAGAAATACTTAATCATTTGACACCTCTGCAATCACATTATTATCGGTAGCAGGACTTTGAAATTATTTAGCAACAACTGAGTCTATTTTGAAAAACAAAAAACCAAAAAAACTGATCTGGTCATGTCAGATCTTGATAAATCTACGATTTTTTTTCTTTAAAACAACTTTTCTCTTAATTTTAAGACATTCTTCTGGTAAAATTGCATTTTTATTCTGCTAATATTATGATTATATTCAGCTGCCATGGACCATAAATCTGGAACAAACTTTCAGAAAACTGAAAAACGGCTGAAACACTGAGTTCCTTTAAATCAAGACTAAAAACCATCTGTTCAGAGTTTATTCTGAACCATAACATATGAAACACTGCCCAACATATTTGAAACTTGTCAAAATGTAATGGTTGTTTCTGGTTTTCTCAATTGTGAGTTGTAATACTCCATCCTACAACTCACAGAAGGGTTGACTAAAATTAAAGCCAATTTTGAAAATATATTTATTGTCTTTTCTTTTTAGAAAAGAATACAAAAGACAGCCGTAGTTTCTACGGTCCCAGTTGGATTCCTGACCCCAGCAGTAGTTTGAATCTGCTTTCAGCCGTCTCACTGTGACACATGCTGCCTTCTTACTGACCCAGATCGAATCCACGATGCTCTCAGTCAGAGCTTTCCTGGTGTCCCAGCTGAAGAAATGGTGCTCTGCGCTGTCGTCCACTTCCCATTTGCTCACAGTGGAACTGGTCAGCGAGTACAAGCAGCTGGTTCCCTCCACCCACAGGACACTGTGGAGCTGCAGAGACATGTAGAGGATGATCAGGTCAACTACTGATGCTGAACAGGTTTTTGGGAGTTTTCAAGGTTTTTCCAGACCCAGAGTATTTGTCTGCATTTGCAACAACATTTTGAAACTTCACTTTTTGAAACTTCACTTTAGACTTCATTAACACAGCAGGTATTGATGCTCAATTCAGATTTTTTGCTGAAATCTGATTGTGTGTGTGTGTGTGTGTGTGTGTGTGTGTGTGTGTGTGTGTGTGTG